CAGAAGTTCCTTCCACCTTCTGGGGCTCCACCCCGGGGAAGGCAGGAGGGGGTATACTGGGTAACCAGCAGCACCCCAAATCATCCAGCCCCTGGTGCAGGAAAGGGTTAATACAATCTGACAGCACCCCTTTCCCCTCCCCCATCAATGACAGGAGGAGGGGCCCCGCGGGGCCTGGATGGGGAAAGTTGGGTGTGGGAGCCCCCGGGGTACGGGGAGAAAAGAGTTAATAGCTCGCCCCATCGCCCTACAAACCCTGCCCAGGGGTGACCCCAATCCGGGCGTGTCTGGCAGGGGAAGAGACCGCAGAGACATACTCACACTGTGCAGAGCGGAATCCTGATTGCAGCCTCGCCCTCCTCCGCCCGCTGTCAGCCCGCCGGACACTCGGAGAGCAGAGCGGAGTGTATATGTGTATACAGGGAGGACCGGGGAGGGGATTCCCAGCAACACAGGCAGCTGGATACCACAGACACCCCTCCCTGACTGCAGCCTGCCAGAGGGCGGAGCCACCCTGAAACCCCTCCCTCAGTGCAGCCTGCAAGAGGGCGGAGCCACCACAGAGCTGCCTTTCACTTAAAGGGACAGCAGCCCCTCTATACATCTGCAGAGTCCTAACTCCTCTGTCCTTAAATATGAAAATAACATTGTATCAGAGTGACATTGCTGACTGAGTACAATGTATCCGACTTCTATGTCATCCCTAAGCCGTCCCCCATCTTATATCCACACTACCAACACAGGAAACAATGTCTGTAGTATTCGTACAAACATCCCAGTATCACTTCCTGTATGCCGGGTGTCATTCTCAGTATCTGTTCTTATACTGTATGTATGGACTCTGCACAGTAACACTTCTCTTGTCCTGTATGCCGGGTGTCATTCTCGGTATCTGTTCTTATTCTGTATGTATGGACTCTGCACAGTACCACTTCTCTTGTCCCGTATGCCGGGTGTCATTCTCGGTATCTGTTCTTATTCTGTATGTATGGACTCTGCACAGTACCACTTCTCTTGTCCCGTATGCCGGGTGTCATTCTCGGTATCTGTTCTTATTCTGTATGTATGGACTCTGCACAGTACCACTTCTCTTGTCCCGTATGCCGGGTGTCATTCTCGGTATCTGTTCTTATTCTGTATGTATGGACTCTGCACAGTACCACTTCTCTTGTCCCGTATGCCGGGTGTCATTCTCGGTATCTGTTCTTATTCTGTATGTATGGACTCTGCACAGTACCACTTCTCTTGTCCCGTATGCCGGGTGTCATTCTCGGTATCTGTTCTTATTCTGTATGTATGGACTCTGCACAGTACCACTTCTCTTGTCCCGTATGCCGGGTGTCATTCTCGGTATCTGTTCTTATTCTGTATGTATGGACTCTGCACACTAACACTTCTCTTGTCCTGTCTGCTGGGTGTCATTCTCGGTATCTGTTCTTATCCTGTATGTATGGACTCTGCACAGTACCACTTCTCTTGTCCCGTATGCCGGGTGTCATTCTCGGTATCTGTTCTTATTCTGTATGTATGGACGCTGCACAGTATCACTTCTCTTGTCCTGTATGCCGGGTGTCATTCTCAGTATCTGTTCTTATTCTGTATGTATGGTCTCTGCACAGTACCACTTCCTGTTTTCTCGGTATGTGACTTTACATATAATTTGTGGTTTCCGGGGATGAATAATTGTTACATTGTGTGATTCATATGAATGTAATTTTGATGGGTGATGACGGTGGGGGGAGGGGAGGGGGGATGTAAAAGTCATTGTGCGGTTGGTGATTTTGAGGACTGACAGACTCCATGGATGGGAGGCTGAGGACTGACAGACTCCATGGATGGGAGGCTGAGGACGGGTATTGGTGATATTG